CCAAGATACGATTTGTGGCAAAGCAAGACAATTGTATGGAGAGTTAATAAAAAAAGGATCCTAGCATCTCTCCTGAAGAGTTTGATTTTAAAGCAAGCAGAGGATGGTTCGAAAAGTTGAGGAAAAGAAGTGGAATACACTCCGTGATTCGTCATGGTGAGGCAGCCAGTTCAGACAAGGAAGCTGCCGAAAAGTTTAAAGTTGAGATTGAAAATCTCATCAAGGCTGAGGAATATCTTCTCCAGCAAACTTTTAATATGGTCGAGACTGGACTTGTGTGGATAAAGCGGTTCAGAAAATGGATGGAGGGATGTTACCTCGTACCGTAGCGTAGGATTTCAGACAGAGCGTCCATAGTTACAGCCATTACTTTAGGGTTTATAAATTCAAGGTGTAAAAGAATGCATTGTCACGATGAGAGAGAGAGAGACAGAGACAGAGACAGAGACAGATAGATAGCTCAGCGCTTTGTTGTTTTAAGCTATTTGCCTGGTGAGTAGATATAAATTTCGACACTATTGGACGAGAAAGTCTTCCCCGCTCCTATCGGACCGCAACACTTACATGAATCGCTGTTTATTCCAAAATGACTCCCACTGCTCAGAGAGAGGCACTTTTGGCAGCAATTAGTTTAGCACACCATCCTAAAACTGAATAATGTTTGCGGCTTGTTACTCGTGTCCCCAAGTTGGCAAAACAATGCATTCATGAATAGGATCAATAAGAAAACAATACAATACAATACATGCTGAACAATTGTGAAGACATACTCTGCACGCATCTGCTTTGGGTCAAAACTTATTTTCTGGCTGTGGCACTGAGAAAATCAAAACAAACTTGGGTAATTTGCGGCACTTTGAAAAAAAGTCCCCTGGGACTCGCTTGTCAGAGTCCTTTTTACATCAAGGTAATGGTTTATATGACGCCTACTGAAGTACAAGAGGCGTGTATTAGGAGGAGGACGACATTCAGCCAGCACACGTTTCTTTGCAGTCTCAATATACTTTTTCCAATTGGCTTGTCTTTAATGTTAAATTACATGCTTCAACATGGCAATTATGGAATATAATGGTGAATTATACACGATTACATTGTAAAGAGGATGTGAGGATATCAAGGTATCACAGGAATAGTACATGGGTGGAACTTGACCCATTGTTGAGTTCAAAATCCTTAATCAAACACCCTCGGGTATTCTCCTCGTACTCTTCACTCGCTTTGATTTCCCTTTTGAACAGCCCTGTTGAGACTTTAGTTGCCGTGCAATCAGCCTATTTAGATTTTGGTCGTGCCTCTTCCCCGCTCTGATATTGATGAATTGACTTCATAAAGCACTGAGACAGCACACTCTGTCGTCAGTAATCAATGCCCAGATCCATTCTTTTCTCTTCATTTGAGGAGGCGTTGGAGCTCCTCTGCAGCCGAGCAGAGGAGCCTGCAGTCTTTGGGGAAATTGTCCTCTAAACTAGTGTCCTTTCAAGTGCTGTTTGACACATGTAAATTGTCAGCTCATGTAACGGGATTGGCAGCAAAAACATCCCATCCAACTCCAAGGCCTCCTCCCATCCATCATCTTTGCATTAAAGCTAACTGTCCCGACCGACTTGAAGCCTTTCCATTTTCGCGGGCGCAACATTCATCATGCAAGCTTTTTTTAATTTGGGTTATGCTGCTGTCTCATCTCATCCTTACCCGTGGCCTGATGCTCTATGACAAATGCCGACATATTACATCGAGACAGAAAAGCACTCTCCTCAGGCCAAGGTTAATGCATTTGTTTCTTCATAGAGATGCATTAGAGATGAATATGTTGTTGTTCAGGGGGCTTGTTGGGACACTTGATGAGTCTGGTCTGGATGGCGCATGGTGACAAAGCTCTGTGTGATTGCTAAATCATCCTAGTTTATATTCTGTTCAACTTCATTACCTGAGATTTACAGGACCAGTTCTTTCCACGCTGGGCTAATGACTTTTTAACTCGGGTCAGAATAACGATTATCATCAAGACAGTTTTTTTGGCTGGGGTGGTGAGGTAGTGGGCAGGTCCTTGCATTTCACCAGAGTATGTTTTCAACAGTGCATGAAGCGAAATATTTGTAAATTGAGTCAGTAAGCAGCAAAGAACACCTTGCGAGCACATTAAAGTACATGACAAAGCTGTAGGAGAAACCTGTAAGAGGGGTCACCTGTGAACAGGATCTTGCAAATATCTAATGCCACTTTTTGCATGTTTCTTTTTTGTTTGTGTGTGATTAGTTTTTGACAACTAATCACTTGAAAAACAATTTGGCATAATATGTACTGTATCTCAAATTTTCAGAGGCATTCCTGCTGCAATATCTTCTCTACTATCCATGGTCCATCCAAAGGACTACACCTTTGTCAGTAAACCACGGGAGGAGTGTGACTCAGGATTATAATCGTTTGGGGGATTTCATTTGAGTTTTTTGTTTTTTAATTCATGTGGTATTTTTTTGGGGGGGGGGATGTTTGTTTTTATTAGTTTTTATTTCATTTTTTGAAAATGCTTCCCTTTAGTTTGGTATTAGTTTTAGTATTGGGTTTAGTTTTGTTTTTAATACATGGCGTATTTGTCGATTGCACGATGAAAAAAAAGCCCCTAAGTATTGTGTAATAAAGTCAACTACAATTCTCAAACAATTGACCTTCCTTTTGTCACTAAGAATGTACAGTAATAGCGAAATAAAGCGCATTTATGATATTGACAAAGACACAAACGAAGGACCCCTGATACACACTGCTGAGTTTCATGCAGCTAGTGTGGAATCTATTTGGTGATTGCATATGAGTGTGAATGGTTGTCTGTCTCATGCGGGCATGCAACGAGAGATGTTAGAGTGAAAGCGGCGCACAGCCACTGCTGCACCTCTTGAGCTCTGGGGTTGCGGATAATGCTTTTCTCTAGGGCCATGCCTTGTGGACATTTTTTGTCTGCAGCAGTAACTTACCTATGTCCTCTGTTTCCAAAGACCAAATAGATGAGGCTAAGATTTGTTGTGGTTGTAACTCTTTTTCTGGAGTTGCCATGATTTCAACTTTGAAAGCCATTCTATTTAACGGTAGATGTGATGACATACATATTTAGGATTGAATACAATTTGATACGTATTCTGTAGTGCATAAATTAACCAAAAAGAGTGCCACTTTTCCGACAAAAGCACCTGTTCCATACTTATAACCAATCAATACTTAAAAGGTCAGGGAAAGTGAAACATCATCAGTATGGCACATTCTCGTTTTGTGTCGTTTGAAATTTTGTCCAAAATAGTATCATTACTCAACTCGGCCTAGTTTTAAATCTACAGTAGCATGACCAGCTATATCAGGGGTATCGAGCGTACAGCCCGCGGTCTGCAAATAGGTTTAATCCGCCCCACGGCATGGTTTTGTAAAGTGTAAAAACATAATCGGACCTGAGCGACGAATTAGCCGGCTGTTATCGGCGGACGTCTAAATAAATAGCCAAATTGTATGCAAGTATTTTTGTTTCATGTGACACTATACCAAAGGTTTGAAGACTGTAATAGTAAACTTGTATTAAGGTCCGGTTTCCGGTCCTGTTTGTCAAGTGGTTGAACTAACTTCCTACAGGCAGTGTTCAAAGGAGCGTGGGAAGTTGTACTAGGAATTGCCCTATAGTTCACTGTATTTAAACAAAGAAAACAATCAAAAGTTGTTGTTTTTTGGTCATATTCCATCATTTTAGTGGTGCGGCTCACTTGGGAATAGATGTGTGGCCCCTGAGCTAAAAAAAAGTTTGACATCCCTCCGTTATGTAATCATTAAAATACCTTGACCAAAGCACCATTGACTTCCTATAAAGCCATTATTTGAGTTTCTTCCGGATTTTCCACAGTACAGCTTCTCAACGACTGAAGTGGCGTAGTCCCCAGCTCTTCCACTGATTAGCCTCGTTATCTGCAGATTAAAGCTCTTATAGTTGGCAGCGGTTGTTGTTTTTTTTTTGTTTTGTTTTATTTTGTTTTTCCGATTGATAGAGTATTAGAGTGACACTGGAGCTTTTGAACACATCGGATGAACGTGTCTAGATTTGGTGTGACCAGCATGTTTTTTTTTTTTTTTTTTTTAGCTTTGTTATGAGTAAACATGGAGTATTTTGTGAGAATAATGGTCAGGATACTAATCAGTTCACAGTATTCCAGACAGATGTCCTTTCCCCAACAGCTTGTCCACACTCCGCTCCTGAAGCATTTGGTTGCTTTGATTGATCGATTGCCAGTTATAGTAAATGATCCAATGTTGTCAATTCTCTCCGTCTTGAAAGTACTGTACATATATTTTTAAATTGGATATAGTGAGGAGTACAACCTATGAAGTCTTGGCTTGCTCGTGGCCAGCCACGTACCAGCATCTGTTCAAAGTGTGAAACACCTTTTGCCAAAATAAATCCAGCTCCATTGAATAATTTAATTGATGCTTATTATAGATAGCGCTCGACACCCTCAGTATTTGCCGGCTGACTAATCCTGACCCAAGGCACTTGGAAGATTCTCATCTGAGTAAGTCTGTGACGGGCTGCCTGGTGAATGAGTAACCAGCCTTCTCCTATGCTCACATTACTCCTTCCGCAATTGGGATGATACAGAGATTTACAAATCCAATTCCTGCATTCAGAACACTCGAAATGTCGGTTTGCATGATCAGTAATGTTGCACATATGAGGGTGATAGACAGTCGAGCAAACTAAAATAGCAACAAGCCAGGGAGGTCTTTCATCGGGGCAAATGGATTTTGTCAATTCTTGTGCTTTGTGATCATGCTAAAATCCAACAGGAGATTTTTCGGAAGTATTTCAAGATATCGCGGTGGTTTTGTTCAAGGGTGTCTTTTAATACTTCTTCATGCCATTTTCAATCGAGTGATCATAAAGCTCAAAATGCCCACAAAATCCATCATGGCTAACTCATGATTGTTATGTTCCTGAACCTCGTTCTTCTCTTGTGTTCTTTTCCACACAGCGATCCAAAATAGCCGTCTATGAGAAGATGTGGTCATACATGAAATCAGCCGAACCCTCGGTGTTTGTTAAGACCACACCAGATGGCGTGGCCCGGGTACGCAAGTCAAAGGGCAAGTTCGCCTTTCTCCTCGAGTCCACCATGAACGAGTACATAGAGCAGCGGAAGCCCTGCGACACCATGAAAGTGGGCGGGAACCTCGACTCCAAAGGCTACGGAGTGGCGACGCCCAAAGGCTCAGCATTAAGGTGGGTGGAATAATATAACAATATCCTCCATGTTGTTATAGTATTCCACCTACCCTGATGCCCCCTGTTTTCATTCTCTTCTCATCTTCTCCTTGTTTTTTTTTTTTTAATGGACACAGAGGTAACGGTAGTATGCTTTTCAATGCACTTGGAGACAAAAAGGGTTGTTTTTTTTTTCTGCCATCATTGTCTTTTCAAGGATTTTTCTACATGTGCTAGCGTTGTTATTGCAAATCAAATCCAGACGATAGAGTTAAGGCGAAGAATCATTCCATGTCTCTTTATGTCTTCCTCCCCCCACCCCCAACCATCTCTCCTTCCATCCTACCTGACTGTTGTGTTGTCACTTTTAATTTAACGGTTCAATAGTTTTTCAATTTAGCCTTTTAAAAGCTGTGCTGTCACTTGTGACAAATGTTAATTGCATGATGTTTGTTGTTGTTACTTCTCTTCTCAATGACAAGTGTCCCCATCCCGCACACTTCAGTTCTAAACTACGTAACCCCTCTTGCCACCTTTCCAAGATTTAACACTGTCTTTACCTTAAGTGAGCCTCTCTTATCTCTCCGTATTCCTGAAATTCCGAAACCGCAATTTGTCCTTTCCCAGAACATTCTGCTTAACAGATTCTTTGCGTAAGTCCCTGCTACAGCGGTAGCCTCTCTACCCTGACCTATCACAGTGCTTGGTACACCCATTACTTTGCATTAGATTTCTCACGGACCTGTGCATTTTCTTACAAGTTATGTTTTATCGTTTCAAGAAATGCTGTTAACCTGGCAGTTTTAAAACTGAATGAGCAAGGCCTCTTGGACAAATTGAAAAACAAATGGTGGTACGACAAGGGAGAGTGCGGCAGCGGGGGAGGTGACTCCAAGGTCAGCCTCGATGTCACCACAATCGGGTACTGCAGTGCAGAGTAATCGGCAAGGCTGTTACAGCAACCCAACCAGAACCGAACCAAATGCCCGCCACGAACAACCTGCTGCTGCCCTTTGGCACGTCACCAAATTGACGGATGGTCTGACCAGACGGTTTAGCGCCCCAGCTCAAACAAAGGAGCCCTGCTTAGCAAACAGGAGATTAGTGACAACCAGTGAATATGAATCAAATTACGACGTGAATAATCTGCCCTGCAGTTATGAAAGTTTGGCGGTCTTTATTCATGCTTACAGATCTGCATGGCAGCTCATCTCATCCGGGACATTCGGCCCATCTCGCCTTCTGGAAATGCAATGAGTCACCTAAATGTGATTTATCATCAACCTGCTACACCTCGATTCTTATTCCTGGAAGTTGTAAACATTTCTAGTACCGGGGTATATGTTTTCAAATCCGGGGAAAGTTCGCTCTTCTTTGATTGCACCCTCAGCTGAATGCATGTCTTCTGAAGCCAGTGGGATCACTCGTTCCCAGTGGCAAAATGGTTTCATGGAGGCCATCGGCAGAGCAAGGGGAACAGCGGCGTCTTGAGGGGACTAAGCATTGCACATTGCAACGTGAGAATTCTAATTAACATTTCAAAGCTTGTGATTTGTTTTTAATGTATCATCTGATAAACAAACACAAAAAACCCCACACCTCCGGTCCAATTCCACTATTGAGCTCATTAATAACCCAACATTGACCCTTTTGTTCACACCCTCCCCTCTTCTTCTGTGGCTAAATGATGAACGATTTTCCCATAATGGAAGCTAATGGCGCAAGTATTAAGCCCCGCTCAACCATGAAAACTAAGTATAACATTACTCAGATGATGTGCAATTGTATAGCGCTATTTTCTCTGCATTACATATGGGACAGCTGTATTACAGTCTTAACATTGCAGGTCACTGTAAAGACAAATGATGCTGTCACCTCTAATGGGATGATGTAGGTCAGGGAATTGGTTAGATTATATGCAATCCAAAATCCTCTGTGAAACACACTGTTAATGTTATTTATCATGAACTGGCCTTGGCCACAATTAGCAGTTAAGCAGGAGTCGATCTGTCTTGAAGGCAGTGGTGATGCTTTTTACTGAGTGCCAGCCTGGACTACAGAGATTATGTCAATGGAAAGTCAATTGAGATTTGTTGTCATGGAGACCACACACAGCCCTGATGTCCCACTATGTGCTGCGGCTTCTTTTAACTCTTAAAACATGATGGATAGATAAAGGATAACACCCATATGAACACCCCTAATAAATGCATGTTTTTGGAATGTGGGAGGAAATGGGAGTACCTGGAGAAAACCCACGCAGGCACAGGGAGAACATACAAACCCCACACAGTAAGGAATCGAACCCTGCACGGCCGCACTGTGAGGCCGACATGCTAACCAGTCGACCACCGGGCTGCCCATCTCTCTCTCTCTCTCTCTCTCTCTCCCCCCTCTCCTCTCCTCTCCTCCTCTCTCTCTCTCTCTCTCTCTCTCTCTCTCTGAGATGTGTTATGCAAAATTAGGCATATGTCATGGAGATTAGTTTTGAGTTGTTGACATTTTTTTTCTCCAAAAATACCCTCTTTAAGGTCTTTATTTTCCCAGCTGTCTAAAGGTTAAAAATGTAGTCGAGGTTCATGAAAATAAGTGATTAATAGACATCGGTAATGAAGCAAACTAGTGCTTGTTTCCAGTATGCTCGCGTGTCTCGGTCACGTGCCTCGAACATCAGTTCACAAATGATTTATAGCAACCAATTGTAGTCGAAATACACCATAATGTGACCCCAATATAAAATCGAACAGAAGACAGATGGACAGACGGTCAGTAGGTTAACCCTTACCTCATAGCATCGCGGAAGCAAATCTCGTCATGATCCGGACACCGGCAAATGTTTGAAATCCAATTATGGTTAATGGTCAGTTGCAGGACCTCTCTCGTTAACGAGTTTATTTCTACATTTAATTTAATTCTTTCATGCACCACAACAAGTAATGTCACAATCACAAAGCCGCTAAATTCTCCTCAGTTTACATGCCACCAGTTGAGAGTGAGGAGTCGGTTTTTCCTTTGATATGTTTTTTTTAATGTTATAATGTCATGTAAATAATGTAATGTTTTGATCACTCCTTGATGTTGTCATTTCACGCAAATTATTATGACATATCACTTTGTCAGTGATGAGCAGATTGCTACGTGGGAGAGATCTAACGCCACAAATTAACACTTTATGCCGTTTTAAGTGGGAGGAATATAAAATCAACTAGGAACACTGTTCACCCAGCACGCAGACATATTTGGAGTAATGTGTAAATATTGGACAGTATGTATAAAGTGTTCCTTAAGTATTACGTTAGGAAAAAAATGGGTTGAACCATCAAATCATTATTTTCTTTATGTGGCCAAATGCATTTGAAATATTAAATCCATGATAAAATATCAATAAATCAGTGTCACAGGCCACACCAAAAGGCAAATAATCTTGTGACGCCAAATTGAAAAAGATGGCGCTTCAGGAAATGAATTGTGAGCTTAATGGGATCATCAAAGTTGTTTTGGGGTTGAGACCAAATCACCATTTTTGCCCTATTTTATCTGATGATAGGTCAAACTTCCTCAGATTTTAAAATCTCAGATGATGTCCTTACTTGCAATTGCAATCGACTTCCCAATGGTCTTTCAGCACTTCCTGAAAGTTTGTCTTTCATATTTTTTTCCCTAATTTACTGGTTGCTATCGTCCTTTAAAAGATGCATGTGCCAGCATAATAACTTTATTATTCTCTATAATTCATCCTGCCAACATTGAAATTGTTTGTATTATACATCATTTTACATGGATTTAAGTGTAGAATTAGAAAATATGAATATCTCAATTTCCATTTTTGGAGATGTAAGCCTGATTTTGTGAAAATGTATCTCACACACACACACATCTCTCTCCCTCTTTCTCTCTCTCTCTCTCTCTCTCTCTCTCTCTCTCTCTCTCTCTCTCTCGTTCTCTTTCCCTCTATCTATATAATAGATAGATAGATACAGATAGATATACAGTGATCCCTCGCTACTTGTCAGTTCACTTATCGCGGTTTCAATGCATCGTGGATTTTTCAAATATATTGATTAAAAAAACATTGCAAAAATGCCGCAAAAGGTCCGCAAGAGGCAGCGAAAATCAGCAAAACAGTGAGTCACAGAGCAACATACACAGTACTGCATGTTTATGTTTACTGTATTTTGCTATTTATGCACTAACCTAACCTAACATATATATATATATATCTTTCTTCTTTCTATTAGTTGTACCGGGTTCAATTCCAGGTCCGACCTCCCTGTGTGGAGTTTGCATGTTCTCCCCGGGCCTGCATGGATTTTCTCCGGGTACTCCGGTTTCCTCCCACATTCCAAAAACATGCATGGCAAGCTGATTGAACACTCTAAATTGTCCCGAGGTGTGAGTGTGATCACGGATGATTCGTCTTTGTGCGGCAACCGGTTCAGAGTGTCCCCCACCTACTGCCTGAAGACGGCAGGGATTGGCTCCGGCGCCCCCCGCGACCCTTGTGAGGGTTAGCGGATCGGAAAATGGATGGATGGATGCAATACAAAACACAAGTCAGCATTCGATATGGATGCTATCACTGTTTGCAAACTGAAGCAATGTGCGTGAACCAAAGTCAGATTTGTGCGCAAATCTTGTTTGTCAACTGATTTGTTTGTGACCAGGGTTATTCGTGAACTGAAGTTGGACTGTGATGGCAAAACAAGAATCGCCACACGATGCTTTGCAGTCTGTTTTGGAACCACATTTAATGTTTCGCATTAATGTACCGTGACAAATTGTTTTGTCCACCATGAAATTAGTACTGACTTTCCCATTGACATTGTATTGCACAGGGAATGTACCAGTTATGACTCCACTAAATAATATTGTGTTAAGAGGTTGTTGCTTTCAGATAATGCTGCTCAAACAAAAGATGTGGAAAAGGTCACGAGTAGAGAAATTGAGGTTCTTGCACAGTGAATCATGCAGAGCAACTTCAGCAGGGCCGGAAATTCGCATAATGGTACACCAAGCAGCACCATAAGTCAAAGCCAAGGTATACACTAAATTTTCTCCTCCTAAGGTTCCTTCTTGAGTCACATTTTTGCACTATTTGCTTTGCTAATGCTGCTCTGTAGCTAAGATCATTAAGTCTTTTTTGCATACTGATGAGAGCATCCTCAGGAGCCATCATGTCATCATCGATTTTTTATTTTATTTTATTTTTTGGTATTACTCTAACATGCACTCTGTGTTCGTTCGCTGGGTTGTTTAGCTTTTTCAGGAGTCATTTGAGAGGTCCGATTAAGTGTGGCTCGGAGCACTGACTTCCACATAGTGCATTACTTGCATCATGCTTATGGCTTGCGGTTTCAACAGACGCCCCCCCCCCTCTCTCTCTCTCTCTCTCTCTCTCTCTCTCTCTCTCTCTCTCTCTCTCTCTCTCTCTCTCTCTCTCTCTCTCTCTAACACACACACACACACACATACACGAACACACACACTTGCTTCTTGGCCTTCAGCACAACACAGTGGTGCAGCCGAGATGGAGTTTCAGACATGGAGCATGTTATAGGGTAATTGCATTGTTAATCAATGTCTCCACAAGCCAAAACGATGCTCGGGTCATCACAAACTGTCTCCGAGGCATACCGCGGCGTAATCTTCTCTCTGTGCATTATGCATTGCTTGGATCCCCTCAAGGGCCATTTTTCCTGCAGAGTAGTTATGTCACTCATTTATCGACGCAACGTTTTTTTCTTCCTTTTAATTTGCTTTTCACATGTTCACCGATGTGATGGAGCGGAACCACGTATGACCCATGCTTGTATGGAGTCAAACAATATGATCATGTTGACCGCAAAATACACAGCAGATGTTCAACTGTTTTGTATCAGTGAAAATTTGAGATGACAATTGTTAACTGCAATACAAGCGATAACGTACGTTATGCGGCAAATACGCAGATGCCATTGTGTATGTTGAGTGTTTAACTCATTTAGTGCCAAAATTTTTTACTTTTTTTTTAATTAAAAAAAAGTAATAATAATAATAAAATTTCATGCAGCTCCTCAGTAAGTATCAAGGCTTTGGGAATGATTTCAGAAAGATCAATGCAATTTGGTTGCGACAGCCTGAATAGTTCATCTTTGATAAGGGGATTTCTTTCTTATCTTCAATATACTGTTTTGGCCAGGTGGCTTCGATCGGCTTTGACACTGACAATTTCCATGACACAAGCATTCCAATTCACAGGATTGAATTGATACTGTGCACAGTGTCCGTTAAAAGCAAACGGCGCAACCGTTACGGTGTTTGTTAAGACAAAGCTCCTTTCTGAACTGATGTTGTTGAATTCTGGTCAGAGACTCTCAAACGGGGCGCCCCCCCAAATCACCCCACGTAGAGACGGGCGGATCGTACAATAAGTACCTGCTCGTCGCCATGGTAACAGCGTCTGCCGATTACTCAAAGCGATATGGGTAGGTCCTGGCTCTGTAGGTAAGGGTTTATTCTGAAGGTGCTAGGTAGAATGCCTGCTCTCTGTCATGTTGCCGTGGCCAGGAACCCTGCTTTATCGCTTTGTAAAATATGTAAGTAGTAAACAAGTTGAATAACATAAAATAACATGATATAATGTTATTTATGTTATTTCCCACGTGAAGAACTCCTGTAAACCTTGCAGTATTGAAACTCAGTGAACAAGGCATCTTAGACAAGCTGAAAAACAAATGGTGGTACGATAAGGGTGAATGTGGAACCAAGGACTCTGGAAGTAAGGTCAGTCGCTGCAGGTCTTTTGCACTGATTCCAAATTGCATTTTGACGTACTGTTCATACGCAAGACAAACCTCTCCCAACATGAGTCGTTCACATTATGTTAATCTGCTGCACATAATTTCTTCTTCTTTGGACCTGCCACTAACTGTAATGCGGTCTGTGGCTTGAACCAGGCACTCCTTCCCTACATTTTTTGCCACAAAACATTTTTTTTTTCTTTTAACACCACATGAATTGTGAACCTATTTTAAAAATCTGTAATGATAATCCAGTGGGGAAATGAGCATGGAGTGCCTTACAATTTCAACCGAATCACAGCAGTCGTTGACAAATGCCACTTACGCCCATTCTCACTTCATGACACTTGGACCGTTATGCTGCTGTTTCTATTTACCCAACTGCTAATGAAAATTTGATTGATTTGCGTTATTACTACTTTGCCAACCAGCTGTGTCTATTAGATTTGTTGGCCTCCTGTGGTGTGATGAATGGGCAAAGCCTCTTCAAATTTGATAACAAATGCAACTTACGCTCGCGGTTGAACTGAGGCTCGGGTGGCATGCCGCAAGAAGTCAGGGAATGTAATATACTCACCATTTAACCCTCTGAGATTCGGCTTCGAGATCGTTAGGGAGCTGCCCGATCCCTCCACGCTCAAGGGGTTAAACTGCAAATAGTAAAACCCGAACAGATTTTTCAATGACGAAGTTCGGTAGGTAAGCAGCAGCAAAATGGTTTGATTTGATCATCTTCTCTGACTGTACTGTATGACAATGTTGCCAGAAGAGTTATACGTACATGTCGCTAAGGAGACAGGGATGGTTAGAGCCGTCGACCTAAGCGACGCTGACCGGCTTCCCAACATGGTCAAGAGTAGATCAAGATTAAAGATAAAAAAAACTCCAATCATCAGCTTCTTTCTTTTTAAGGGAATGTTAATCAGATATATTGAACTGTAAACCCAAACAGACTTTCCAGGGTTGTGGCTGGTAGCTGTTAATATGACTAATCCATGAACAGTTGCACAAGTTTGACCAGATCAGATTGACTAGTCAGGCTGATTTTTTTTGTTCTGTTGCACTCGCACCACTTGGAAATGCTTAACTGTGTTCTTGACTTTCCCGCAGGACAAGACAAGCGCTCTCAGCCTAAGCAATGTGGCTGGAGTCTTCTATATTCTGGTTGGAGGGCTGGGGCTGGCCATGATGGTGGCCCTGATTGAGTTCTGTTATAAGTCACGGCAAGAAACCAAACGGCTGAAATTGGCCAAGAGTGCTCACAATTTTAAGCCAACTCCCCCAACAAACACTCAGAACTTTGCCACATACAGAGAAGGCTACAATGTATACGGAACGGAGAGTGTTAAGATTTAGAGGTATGTCGCCTCTCTTTTCCGTCCACGACGCACTGAAGGCGTCGCATCATTTAGCTTCCCGTTGTGTCTGTGACTAAATTATTCAAACGCATACGGTTCTGTGTTGTTGCTGGTTCAGATGTCATGTCGGAAGAATTCAAACACAGAAGCCCACTTAGATATAAAAACCATCGCTCTTGTTTTTTCCTTGTAAGATGGGGCCTCTGGCAAAATTGGAGGCGAAACGATTTACAGTCCAGTACCAGTTCTAAAATTCTAACCTTGCACCGTGGAAAGTCACACAAAATCCACTCGAGGGCAACTGATAGATGGCCGATTTTTGTTTGGATGTTCAAAAAAAATGCCTTTCATAATAACACCGGTCAACGATTGTTGACTACAATTTTTTCATCAGAGTTGCAAGTAAACTTTTTTTCTACATGAATTTTGATTTTTTTTTTGCGCTGATTCCTTAGTTTTCTCTTGCTTTGGGTCGACAGTGGGGAATGAAATGCTACAACAATAAACACACATATTTCTTGACTGATTCAAACCATTCCAATTTCAGTTCTGCTCCTTTCGGACATCTTTAAAACTGTTACCATTTCAAATCCCCAAATTTTGTAAATACAATTCCTAAATTAAGAGACATCTTGCACATTTCCATTTTCCAACCATTCCAAATTCAAAATATTCAGCTCATTCAGAACCATTTGTCAACTATCACATTCCCAAATCAGGAATGACATAACATATTCACTCGAGCCATTCCAATTTAAAGTCTCAGGTTCTACTTTTTTTTTTAATCATTATTACGTATTATTATTATCAATTCCACAACATCTCAGTCCAACCTCAGCTCTTCAGCATTCACCCACACTGTCGAAGGAAATCGCATTCTCTCGTTGCATATTAGAAAGCACATTGACAACAGTGCATGTGGGGTACAGATGGAGCAAACACCATTCTCACATATGATTTTTAGGGTTTCTATTTGTGGCTAGTCATCCTTCTGTGTGCGCTTGTCTGTCGAGTGACATGTTAATTATTAATGAAACAGATTGACTGCAGTAGGATTGACAATAAACAGCTCCCGTTGTATCCCAACAGCTTGGGATAGCACAGTCCCATCCTCCCATGAAACCACTAGACGTACAGCAGTTAGTCCATTGCACAAGCACTGTTAAATACACAGTTTCAATTGTTAGTTTTGCTTCTCATTGGGTTGTTTGCACACTTTGTCCAGTCATACACGGATGTGCACCAGAGCCCAGCAAAAATATTTTGGATCCTACAGCCTTATAACGATCGCTCACAGTGAACCCTCGAGAGGCTACTTGAGCTTTTACTGTGATTGCTGCTTTTCGGTCTTGAAATTGTTGTTGATATTATCAAGAATTAAGCGCCGGGAGCTAAAGTATAATGAAACCCATTGAGATAAGACTGATAATTGGATAAGAGGCAGCCCTTGACTGATTTAGTTTTTTTTAATTGAAATTGCAAACAGTGCCAAATTCACCTAAAATTCCGCATATTAATTATAATTTGTTCATGCAAGATCCGTATCTCTCTGAAACAAAAGATTAGGTGCTCACAAGACACGTGAGTCGTTTTGTTTGCACAAGTTAATATCACAGGCACGTATAATGTCTCTTTGTGTTTACTCGCTCTGATTCCGATGCATGATCATCTGACAATAATACAAAGTAATTCCCTTCATATTTGCTTTCACTTTGTATCCTGACACAGGTTTAGCAAATGTTTCCATCGTCCCGTACAAATGTGATTAAATATCTCTGAAAAGGACAAGGATGACGAGAATGGAGCCAAATCCTTTTGGGCCGGAGACTGGTACTGTATGATAATCTGCAATGACGACACGACTGGACTGGTCATGGGAAGAGCCGATTCCCCTCCTCTCAGTGCCTTATGGAGAGTCCAATCAATGCAACACATTCTCAATGATATCGCTTTTTGCTTGAAACTCACACAAAAGAGAAGAGTTGAGGGTCAGAGGGATAGTATCATATATACAGTTGAGTACATATAGAATACATGTAATGTGAGTGAATTAAAGCCATCATTTTGCAACCCTAAGCACATTTTGAAGTGCCAAAAGATGAATCTTAGATGGCGGGAGAATAATTGGTTTCTTGTAAAAGCAGATTACTCCTCATTCTCCTGCTGCCGGGTTCTCACTAGTTATATATCTCTATATATATTCAAATGTGTTCTTTCTATCGTGTCAGTGCACCGCCGGACACTGATTATGACACAATTAGATTTTTTTACTAATCCCCCTCCCCCCACTTCCTCCATTAATGGATTCATCTTCCTGAAATACCATTTGAAACAGTTCAGAGTGTGTTGTTTGTACTCTTGGTGCCACAGACACACACCACACAACCGGGTCAAGACGTGCACTTTCAATACTGCCAACTGTGTGTGTGTGCGCGCGCGTGTACGTATACGTGTCGTAAGGTTGCTCACCACCCCTAAAGTCCTCCACATTCTCTGTGACGGAAGTAGAACCAATACAATAAAAGGGAAATCAACCGTAGGTGAACTGATGAATCTAACAAAAGGATACTCGTTAAGGCTTTCAAACTGTACTATGTGGACTATCGTCCCATTTTTATTTGATTTTTTTGCACATAAGTACATTTGAAAATGAACTGTGCTTTTCACTTTGCTTTCCTTTCAAGAGCATTACATTGTTTGGTGATTTCACGTTGTAAAATAAAAAGAGATTACGAAAGGGTTGCACCAGGGCGGTTCTGCAAGCTTAGCACATGTCGATATTGCTGTAACAATTACTTTCCCAAAAAGGCTGTGATTCCATAGAATTTTTAGGATGATACTTAAATCACCAGAATCTGTGGGCAAATACTTTTTTCATGTAAGAAAATAAAAAATCATAATGTGAAGAAAACAGCTGAAATGTGTTTGGATGAACATGAACTGTTAATATTACATGACGAAAGATTGGTCTTTATTTTTCTTTGGGGGTTTTTTTCCCAGCAAAAAAAAAAAAAAATGCATGTGTTGCTTGATGAGCCCTACAAATCAAAAACTGACATTAGATTAGAAATTCAGCCCTGTTTTTTTTTTTTCACTTTTCACCTTTTTTTTTTTTTTTTTTTTGCAAGGCTCACCTTTCTGGGAGATCACCAGGCATTGTAGTGGGTAGAAAAGAGCAAGAAATGCATGCATAATTTACTGAACCTCATTAGCGAGGCAATGTACAGAGAATTTTAATACATTTTGTAAATAAAGTGTACAGAAAGGTTTTGATGTGTGTGTGTGTCCGTGTCATTCAGCAGGAAGTCTACATCAATGTGGAGTCAGCCAATCTAATTCTTTACATGTGTTCGCAAACTTCAGCTTGCTTTTTTTGGCTTAGGTCATGCCCTTGGAAAAAAATACATGCATAAATAAAACAAATCCCCTAACGTTAGATGACAAATGTACCAGATTCATGAAGATTTTGTAAATTAATTTCGAAAAACAAATTCCTCAATGCAATCCAAGTGTGTGTAAGATCATTCCTAGCTCAATAGTACACAATTAATTGGTGGAGATGACACAAAAAGTGCAACTTAGAGCAGGGGTCCGCCATCAATGGGCTGTCGCACACATTAGTTATCGGGCTGAGGAAGAAGAAACATTTATTCGTGGTGTCATTTATAATAAAAGTCCTTCCTGCACTTGTCTCTGTCGCTTTTTTCTTTTTATATGCCAGTAATGACACAAAATAACAGAGCTGAAATAAACACATTTCGTTGAATAGGAGGCAAAGTACACGGTGTAATGTGACTGGGTTCTGTTGTCGACGTAATAATGGCTCAGTGATGAATCATGTTTGTGTAACTCTCACATTGTAAAATCATCACGTTTACATTTCACAATTAAATCCGCATATTTCATCTTCCAACGGCCAATGTAGCAATCTTAACAGGTAGTTTGTAACTTTTGAATAAAGAAATTAACAGTGTCAGTTTTCAAAACTGTCCGTCTGACCTGACACTAGTACAACCGTGAATATGGTCTGTGGAATATAATAAAAAGCAGCTCTCCCGCTCCCCATCAAAACAACCGATAGTGCCAACCTTCAAGAGATTTGTTGAAACAATGGTGAAATAACCATCCCCTCCCTGAAAAAAAAATGCCTAAACCTCGTTTGCCCAAAACTGTGCATAAGCAAAGTGACCTCAGGCCGCTGCAAAATTAGCAACATATCCACTTGACAGATAAGTCCATCACCTCTTTTTGATTTTTAATTGATTGCGCAGTCTAAAAAAAAAAAAAATCAACCTTCAAACCAATAATATTTTTTACATAGTACTGTATCATTCCTTTCCGAATAAGTTATGCTACCATGGATAACGTTGGCTTGTTTCCAGTGCATGCTACGTGCAGTGCACCTCTCATACGTGCTAGTGAAGGGTGCGACTTTGGTCAGAGACTGGGGAGTCTGAGGTGGGGTAATAATAAAGTGAGACATTCAAATCATGCTAGCACTTTAAAAAGGGCAAACTCCCCCTTTAATTTGATTGACTTGCATGAATCAACTGGTATAGCGGAAATGTAGTGTACCTTGATTGTCACTTACCGAAAAATATTGTGTTCAAAATCCTAGGCATTTGACTGCATCAAAACACATCATGACCGGATAACAAAAGTTAGTGACGAAGGCTTCAACACTTACTGAATTATTGATGGGCTATGTGTCAGACAAAAAAAAATATATATATACTAAATCTGTATTGTCATAGCAACCAAATGTCTTCTGTCAATGGATAGATAACTTAGGTTTGTTATTTTTTTCTGTGGGCCTTCTTGAGGAGCATTTTTAATTTGAAGCTCAAATTGCGACTAGAATCTTATCTTGGTTGTGTGACAAAACAGTAGCAATGACTGTATGATCACAAATAACTCGGCTGTGGTGTGGATATGGTGTCAGTTAACTAGCCAGTTGTCAGACAAATACACACCTGAAGGGTTTTAACATGTAACGGTCCAGCATTGAGCTGTTAGACCGGGAAATTGTATGCCCGTGATTTAGATCAATCGTGAGCGGAATCTGCCTTCGTCTCATTTGCCTTGCATCCTTGCATTGAAGCCTGCATTCAAAGGTTCATCTGGCTTTGTGATCTCCCACCTCGGCGTGTTCCAGAGTCGACATATTTTTAGAATGCAAGGAACCTTTCTGCTTATGAACAGGACATCATTTCAAAAAAAGGAAAGTGTATATCCAAATGTGAATAGATTTGTGTTTTAATTTCAGAGACCTCATACGAAAATTTAAAAAAAAATGTGTCATGTGTCCCTATTGCTCTTATGGTAATTAAGCGTCTCACCTTCTAAACCAGAAGTCTTGTGAAACACGACGTTTTGACTCACCCGTGACAGGCAGCAATGGTTTAAAGGGCACCCGGACTGACAAACCTGGACTGCCTAAAACGGCACAAACTCAGATGTCCTCAGTCTTAACAACAAACAAAAAGGATTCTTGAACGTTTAAGACTCACGATTGTCTGCCACAATTATTTTCCAAGATCAGTGAGTGAAATCACTCATGACATAACGCAAATCACATGATCATCTGCTAGGTTCAAGTGTATAGACACCAATGGACAACAAATGTTCTTTTTGTTTTGTTTTTTTAAATCAGAAATACAAGTAAACTTTTCTAGATTTTTTTATTTTGACAACCTGCTTGTGGAGGCTCTCAGTCGTACAGGAAAGTTCCATCGTAGAAAGGGTTCTGTCAGTCGTCATCTGTACCTGTGGGTAAAAAACAAAAAAAAAACAAAAAAACACAAACAAAAAGCAAAAAAGGACGTTTCGCTTCTCTCACAGAAGCTTCGTCAGCGGTAGACAACCCTGAAGTCTCCGTGAAGACTCCGAGAAGTTGCTCTGCGCTAAAAAGCTGAGCGTGGCCTGTTTGAGGACTGGGTGGGGATGGTTAGTCACGCCCCTATTGGTTTATTAGAGGCCCATTGGTTTCTAAATTCCCTATCATTGGGTCTTGATTAGGCCTATTGTTTGGGCTAAGGCTGAATAGCTACTTTCAGTTAGCCTGATCAGCATGTCTATGTCCCTTACTGGTCAACAAGTTATTGTAAATAGGAGACAGGTTAAATCTGATACCTCCTTCACGGTTCAGAGAGGGTGAAAATTTTTTAACAAAAATCGCTTCTTTTACCCCCCTTTCAAACCATCTCTTTTCTGTTCCTAGGATTTTTACTTGTTCATCTTCAATTGTGTGGTTTGTTTCTTTTAAGTGTGCGTATACTGCACTTTTGTTATCATTGTTTTTCCATTTGTGTTGATAAAGTCTTTTCTTGAGTGTTTGTTTGGTTTCTCCAATGTAATGTTCCTTGCACTCACTTTCTTAGCAACGGATGGAATAAATCAGATTGCATTTTTGGGTGTTAGGAACCCGGTCTGGACTGACAGAACCCTTTCTACGATGGAACTTTCCTGTACGACTGAGAGCCTCCACAAGC